CTCCCACGCCGCGCCCCGCCGCCCTCCGTCCTCCTCTCGCCGCCGCCTTCTTCGGCGCCTGAGTCACTCACGCGACCGTCTGCGCCTATGATGAAAGCCCCGGCTGCTGCACTGGCCACGTTTCAGCCGCATTTTACAGAGGAGGAGGGGACCCAGCATGCCAGGGCGGATGGCCCGGGGAGTCTGCTCCAGTCTGTGTGCGTCTGTGAGTGTGTGTCTGTGAGTGTGTATCTGTGAGTGTGTGTCTGTGAGTGTGTGTCTGTGTGTCTGAGTGTGCGTCTGTGTGTGTGTCTGTGACTGTGTGTGTGTCGAGTATGTGTGTGTGTGTCTATGAGTGTGTGTGTCTGTGTGTGTATGTCTGTGAGTGTGTGTCTGTGAGTGTGTGTCTGTGTCTGAGTGTGCATCTGTGTGTGTGTCTATGAGTGTGTGTGTCTGTGAGTGTGTGTATGTCTGTAGGTGTGTGTGAGTGTGTGTCTGTGTGTGTCTGTGAGTGTGTGTGTCTGTGAGTGTGTCTGTGAGTGTGTGTGTATGTGAGTGTGCATCTGTGAGTGTGTGTCTGTGTGTGTCTGTGAGTGTGTGTGTGTCTGTGAGTGTGTGTCTGTGGGTACGTGTGTCTCTGTATGTGTGTGTATATGTGAATGTATGAGTGTGTGCATGTGAGTGTATGTGAGTGTGTCTGTGTATAAGTGTGTATGTGTGAATATGTGTATGTGAGTGTATGTGTATCTGCGTGTATGTGAGTGTGTATGTGTATATGTGTGTGTCCTGTGTGGATGTGACTGTGTGTATATGCGAGTATGTGTGTTTATATGTGAGTGCATATGTGTGTGTGTGTATCTGTGTATGTGAGTGTGTGTCAGTGTGTACATCTGTGTGTATTTGAGTGTATGTGTGTCTATGTGTGAGTGGGTGTATGTGCGTTGTGTATGTGTGTGTCTGTGTGTCTTGTGTACGTGAGTGTATATGTGAGTGTGTATCTGTGTGTACGTGAACATGTGACTGCCTGTACATGTGAGTGTGAGTGTGTATGTGCGCGTGTAATTTCCTCTACATGGCTCTGATCCAATGCATATATCATCATCGCAGCGTCAACATTTCACACTTATTACAGTATATTTTAAAATTATCCCTAACATAATGCACCTGTGTACACACCACGTACACGTCAGATGCACACACACATGCTCCTACGGTTATAAATACATTTCCTTAATGTTGCGACTTTAGGTTATTCCCATTTTTGTAAAACTCTTCAATTATTCTGAGGACTACTTTTGAGCAGACTCCCTCTGCTACGTTTGGACCATCTCCTCAGGACGAATACGCCCAAAGAGCAGCTGGGGGAACGAAGGTCAAGGCTTTTCATGCAAATTGCCAAATCGCGGCAAAATTCTCACACCACGTACACGCCGCTGCGAGCTGTTCACAGAACTGCCTATCCCGTCCTGTGAACACGACAATATGACATCACGTTGCTTAAAAATAACTTCGGCTAATTTCCTTGGGGAAAAATTTGTCCTTTCCATCACTTCCTTTGATTGAATACTTCCTAAATGTGTGTGATGTGTGTAATCCCGTACACGATCTGATGATCCTATTTACTCGTTTTTCGCATTTCTCTTTCCTCTTGCTGTTTTTCCCTTTAAGGTCTTCCGATGTCAGACCTTGTCACGTTCTCTGCGAGCATTCTCCCGGTTGTTCGTTTCAGAACTGGTAATGGGTTGGAGAGGGGGGTATGGACACGTATAAATAATTTTTTGCGTGCCGTTGAGTCTGTCACTACATTTTTTTCCTTGTTATTTCTAAAACTGCTTTTTCGTCTTAGGTTAGTTCACAATCGATATCCAACCACAAACCTATCTGGAGAGTTGGCAATTATTTCAGAATTTGATAAGAAGTGAAGGTGTAGATTGATTTTTGCTCCACAAACAGCTACCCAGTTTTCCCCACACCATCGATGGGATAAAGTTCCCTGGACAGAGACTGACACACTCCGTGCTGTGTGTCACCTCCCAGGTGTACACAGGCCACTGACGTGATGGGCCACGGAGGTGGGCCGGGGCCACGCCGCCTCCAGACCCCGGCCCCTGCTCCCGCCACATGTTCCGGAAGTGTCGACTCTGACCGTTGTCCCATGACCCCGTCGTCCCATGTTCCGAGGCCTCTGCTCACCACTTCCCGAGGTCAAAGCCTCACCCAGGCCTTCCGGGGTTCCCAAAGCGTTCCCCCAAATACGTCCTGGTCGTACGTTCCAGCATCCTCTGCTCTCAACATGACGTTTTCTAGCCAAAGCGTGTCCTCGTGGACTCGAAATAATCGCCCACATTTCTCGCGTCTGCCGATTCACAGCCGGCTGAGATGCGCCTTCCCCGCTGAGGACGCGTCTGCCCTTGACCGTGCTTCAAGGCCTCGGTCAAACGCTGCCTCTTCCGTGAGCCCCGACCCTTCCTTCCTTCGGGTCCCCGAGGACAAGCACTTGTATTTGGAGGGAAGAAGGGGTTGGGGCTCCCAGCGCTGCCCTTGGGGACGTCATCACGTCGCCTTCTTCGCTTGTCATCGGCCTTCTTGCTTCGTAACCCAACCGACAGCTCAAAACAGAGTCGCTAGTTTTCCCACCCGTCGCCGGCCACCTTAATGAGCGTACGTTCAGGAAATCCACAAAGGAAAAGAGAAATATAAAATAGGAAGGAGAAAAACAGGAAAAACAGGACTGAAGCTCAAAAAGTGTTTTTCTAAGGTTGTCTCTGTGAACCGGGCAATGACTCTCGTCCGGGGCCTGCGCCGGAATGTTCTGTCACGTGACTCTGGAGCACAGAGCGGGGCGTCTCAGCCACCCAGCTTCGCCCTTGTGACCTATTTGGGACTTTCCTTCGGATAGCTGACGGTCCCCTCAGATCCTCAGTTTCCTCGTGTATAAAATCCGGAATGTTCTGTCACGTGACTCTGGAGCACAGAGCGGGGCGTCTCGGCCACCCAGCTTCGCCCTTGTGACCTATTTGGGACTTGCCTTCGGAAAGCTGACGGTTCCCTCAGATCCTCAGTTTCCTCGTGTATAAACTTGGAGCAGAAAACGAAATCGCGAGTGGAAAAAAACCAGGTAGATTATACTTCATCGAAACTACAAACTATTATTCTGACACGTCAAGAAAACAAAGAGCTACCCCACGGGGTGGGAGAGAGAACCGTCGAAACGCAAAGGAAGGCAGAGGAAAATCTCCAGAGCATGAAGCATGAAGGGAAAAGGGAATGAAATGTCAGGAAAGAGGGAGAGACACAGAAGCTGCGGGAGACCCGACTCCGGAATAATTGCAACTGGGATTTTAGCACAAACGCCAGCGAACGGAAAGCAGAGGGAAAATCATGAAAGCTACTTGAAGGGGGAAAAAACCAGATTAATTTGAAGGGAGCTCCAGTGAGACCAGCAAGTGTCCCCTCAACACAAGCAATGGCAGCCAGAGACAATGGGACATTATCTTCAAATGGAAAAGGAAGCCAAAGGCCAACCTAGGTTTCTGTAACCAGCTAACACACCCTAGAGGAATAAGTATCATACAAGGTCATGTACAGATCAAATAAAAAAAAAAAACCCGAGAGGAAATTTGTGACTGGGAGACTCACACTAAAGAAAATATTTCCTAAATGTTTTCTTTAGGCAGAAGGTAACATTCACAGAGACTTGGAGATAAAAGAAAGAATACAATAAATAACAAAGAAAAGAGGGAGCTCATGCTCTTATCTAACTGGGCATTTACTGCATTTCACAATAATGATTTCGCGTAGCATTTAACGTGCGTGCATGTAATTACCATACGTAACGACATGGCGTATCTCAGTCAGAACGAGGGAATATGGAGGCGTAGGAAGGTCCCTGCAGTGCTCGAAAAGACATAAAAATGCCTTCTCAGGTAAATTACCAGAAGTAATAAACACTTGAGCAAGGTCACTCAACACAAAGTCATCATATTCTTATACACATCGGCCACAAACACGAAAGGATGTTAAAAATTTTCACCACCTATAATGTCAGGAAACACCAACCTTCTGGAAAAGACCAAGAATGATGTGCAAAACTTCTGTCTACACAGAAAACTCTCAAATGCTCTTGAGACAAATTAAAGACCTACATACGTGGAGACACGAAACACACAGATCGGGAGAATCACGCCGACGGCCCCTCTCACTGAATCGGCTCATGCACCCCTAACGGAAAGCCGGGCCGTTTCTACGTGAAAGCTCGATTCTCTGATTGTGAAAGTTATATGGAAACGTAAGGGGCCAGCAACAATCCAGTCGATCGTAAATGGACAGAAAGAGAACCAGGGACCGCTCTGCTTTAAGCCGCAGGGGTTCACACGGCGGGGAGGGCGCGAACACGGGGCCCGGTGTAGACCAGGGAGCTCGGAGTTCAGGGCAGGAACGCCACCGCGGGGCGACGGCTCTGGGCAGGCGACGAGGCCCGGCCCGCACCTGCTGTCCACAAGCACGCGGATGCCAGGAGCGCTGGGCCTGGGCGTGGAAGGGACACGCGAGGACGCGCCGTGACCTGTGATGACCTTGCATCCGGGACGTGGAAGTCAGTCCAGGGAAGGGACGGCCGACGGCCCGCGGGGAGGGCCCGCCATCTCCCCAGTGCTCAGGGGACAGGGGACGACCACTAGGGCCATAGGCATCACCTAAAGCCCAGCAGGCGACCTCCACGTGACACGGAAGGTCGGCGGGGTCATGGAACGGGAGGGACACTCTGGAGCACGACGCAAATCGGCAAAACCACTGTGGGAAACGGTCCGGCAAGCGGCGAAGCTCGGACGTTCACGGCTACACGTGTCGGTTCGCTACCTCCGCTTCCATGCGGGTGACGGCCACACACAGAAAAGCGGCAGCGCGTCCGCCCAGCGGGCGACGTGTCCGCCCAGCGGCGTGCCCGGGCGTGAAAGGAAGCCCCGCGACGTGGGAGGGGCTCGCGCCACAGAGCTCAGCTAGGGAAACACCGCCAAATACCCCGGACTCCAAACCCAATAGACAAGACTCGAAAACACGAAATGAACCGCGCCGGGGAGAGGCAGCGGCCCCTTTGGGAAGGATGGGGGAGGAAATCGGGGGGCGGGGGGCCTGGACCGCCAGCAACATTCATTCCGCTTTTCACCTGATGCCCCCGACGGGTCCCCTTCTGATACTTCCCTCGGCTCCGCATTTCTATGTTAAGTGCTTTTCTGTAAATGTGCACGTTAATAAAAATCCCCACCGAAGCGGGATTAAGCCGCTCCGGGTCCAACGCGCGTTTGCGGAAACTTGTGTGAAAGCATCGCTCGTGGAAAACGCGGCCCCTCGGCACGGGCGTGTGAAGCTGGGCATGACACAGCCGCTGCGCACGGGCAACACGACACTGTCGCCCCAGCCGCCTCCGCGTCTTGCAGAAACCCTTGCGACGTGAACAGGTAGAAGTGCGACATGATCGTTTCAGTAAAGCTTTGAAGAAGAACTCGTTAAAATCTTCATCGAAAATACACGTCGAGGGTCCGACTCGCCAGGAACCGTGGGGGCGGCTCTGCCTTTTCCAGCTTCGTTACCGTTATTCCTCTCAAGCTTCCCATCTCCTATGCTTCAACTTGGACTCATTAGTCTGTCAACTCCCAGCCTCCAAGGGACATCGGTGAGTGGCCACAGGGCTCACCTGTGGCCATAAATTCTAACGTATACACCGCCAGACGGGCGCGAGTTAGAGCGAGTCACAAGGTCTTTTTCATTTTCTTTCGCTCTGTAAAAAGACTGAAACGTTTTTTCCCCCAAACCCCGGTCGCTGACTCGCGGTAGGAACCGAATCATCCGTCGACATGAACTAACTCAGTCACTGCTCTTTGTCTTCGGGACGTAGACGGACCCCAGCTTCGTCTCCCCGGACAAACGCGTATGTGTCCCAGCCCCACCAGGCGCCGAGAGGTTTCACGCACATTTTCTTCCCGCGCGGGATATTTTAGCGCCTTAAACACGCGAGGACCATGCCAGTGGCTGATGAAGCATCGCTTCTGGGGAAACGAGCCTTCGTTTCTTCCCGCGCGGGATATTTTAGCGCCTTAAACATCGCTTCTGGGAAAACGAGCCTTCTATTGGGGGTGAATAGTCGCCTGGTGAAACCAGCCAGATGCCCCTCTCCGACGATGGCCGATTGGCGGGGCTGATGATGGCCGATCCTCCCGGGCCGGGCCGCGGCCCAGCTGTGCACTTACGCCCCTCGTGCAGCCCTCTCGGGGACCTCCAAACACACGTCGCTGCCGTCTCTGTCTCTCGGGGAGGTTGTGACTCGCCACAGGGCACACCACTAGCAAGTGTCAGTGTCAGAGGGAGGTCTGGGCCCTGCCCGGGGAGCAGGACCTGGGGCTACGGCCCCGCTGGCGGCTGCCGAGACGGGGAGGGGAGGGGCGGGGAGCCCGGGCCCCCACTTCGCTGAGTGTACGGTCTCTGCAACGCCTGACGGTTCACAAAGTCCCTCTGCTTGTTATCCCTGTGACGGTGCACAGCTCGGCGATGCCCATGGTCCCATCTTAATAAACCCTCAGCCCGGACAGGTGAAGCAGAGACGGCGCTGAAACCCAGGCCGGCCAGCGTGACCGGACCACACCGGGAGCAGGTGACGGTGTCTGAAGGGGCACGGCTGATGGCGGGTGGCCCCAAGCTCTGCACCACGAGGCGGCTGGCCAGCCCAGAGTGGGGAGAAGGCCTGTGACTTCCGAGAGAACGGTACCCGCCCTCACCGTGTCCCCCGTCACCTTCCTTCCTGCCCCCGGGGCCATCAGTGGCCTCCATCAACTCAGGAGAGCTGCTCGGGTTACGAAACGTGGTTAGGTTAATTCACTCCCCATCCCTTAACTCTGCTGTCACCAGCCCCAGGGAGCGTCTCGTTGCCAGACGACCTTTCCACCCATCAAACCCCCATGAGACAGAGGACGGGGGTCCTCCGACGATGGCACTCCTTCGGGGCCCCGGCGCTGAGGGTCGGCGGCAGGGCGTGGGGACACCACGCGGCCCAGGCGGGGACGCGGGGCGCGTGTGAGGGCGCGGGCCTCACCTGTGGCAAAGACTACGTTCCTCGAGACCAGGCGGTGCTCCACGATGGAGAACTGCGGGAGCTCGATCCTCTCCACCCCGGTGACAGCCTTGTCGCCGCCGCGCCAGTAGAATTCGATGTCGTCCGTGGTGTAGCCATCTGCCGGGAGAGAGACGCGGGGACATGGAGAGCGGACGCCTCGTCATCGCGTCTGCACACGGGGCCCGAGGGGCGCCACCTGTGCCATGGAGGGCGCGGCCCGTCCCCCGCCCGGGGGGAGGGGTGTCCGACGCGCCGAAGGTCCGCGCGAAGGGTCAGCAGGGAACCGACGCAAGGGTCCGAGTGTCCCCTCCGTCATCCGCTTGGGACCCGGCTGGTGAGAGCTTAGGGATGGTGAGGGAGTGGGGTGCGGTGTGGGTTCTGACTTGGGCTCCGTCTGCGTGGCCCGGACGCTGCACAGACACAAATCTGAAACACGTAAGGACCGCGGTGACCGCGACGGCCCTGAGGACCACGGAACGCGCGCCCGGCACGAGGCGTTGGGGGAGGGCAGGACTGGACACCGGGCGGAATCGACATCTGGGACCTCGGACGGTCCCGGGGCGGACATCGCCTCCCCTCGGGGCTCTGGGTGGCTGCGGCAGGCGCCTGGCCTGACCGGGTTGGCCGCCCTCAGCCCGCACATGTGCACGCAGCGGCCACCGGGGCGAGTGTGCGCAACGGCCGGTCACAGCTCCAAACTGGGCTGCGGCACATCCTCACGCTAGGGGCTTCCCGAGGATGAGCACAGGGGCCGTGAGGTTGGGGTCACCCGGGGCCCCCGGGCGTGCTCTGAAGGATTAGAGTCACCCTCTTGGGGAGGCCGAGTAAAATCACCGCGGAAAAAGACACCCTCTCAGTGTGACGGACGTTTTGATCTGCACGTGGTCAGTGGTCGGCATGACACTGAACGCGTGACAGTGGACACACAGGCCACGGCGGCGGGACGCCTGCTCCCCATGGCCGATGTCATCTCCCCCGCCCCGCCCGCCGTGTGTCCTCCCTGGATCGGGCTGGGCACACCCCTGTCACCCCCGTGGCACTGGTGAGCACAGCGCACACCTCACCAATTGCCCCCGCGGCCGGAAACCCTCACGCTTCCCACTGCGAGCAGCAAAACGCGGCCGAACTCCTCACGGGGACGCCGGGGGTGGACAGCACCGTCCCCGCGTGCACGTCCGCCTGGCGCTGCCCCGCACCTGCCCCCCGGGCACTCCCGGAGGTTCCCGGGAGAAACGCGCTCTCCCGCACAAACGCATCGAGAGACGCGGCAAAGCCGCCCCTGGCCATCCACGAAGACCGTCCACACAAACACCGACAAGCCGGACGCAGGAGGGACCGAGGGCGAACCGGTCTAAGGGGCCGGGATACGTGACGACGGCCCGGACGGCAGCCACGGCCGTGCGCCAGGCAACACAGAAGCAGCCGCGGCCCCTCGCACGGCTCTCGGCACCGAGTTGTCAACAAGGCATCGGAATACGCTGCGGATGGGAGGGGGCTGCCGGGGAGGGGGCTGCCGAGAAGCGGACACGCCGCTTGGGAAACCGATGGAGAGCGAGGCCCACGCCCGTGGCCCGGGGCTGCGGGGAGCTGAGTGCGGGACCCGCCTCCCGCTGAAGGGACCCGGTGGGGAGCGCTGGCCACCTTACATTTCAGCAAAACGAACACTCTCACTCGGGTTAGGATGGGGAGCCCCCCACGCCGACTCCGCCTCCCCCTCTCTCTGCAGGGAAACGTGCAGAGTGCAGGATTCGACCCCCAATTTTTAAGACAATTACAGACGGTGCCGAGGCGGCCGCACACGCCTGGATGAAAGCAGGCCCGGGGGAGACAAGGGGCCAGGACCCAATGGGGGACGGAAGCGGCCCAGATACCCACAGCTTTCGATTTCCAGGGTGCAGTTCTGCTCGTCCAGCGGATACCTCCTCAGGTCCATCATGCACGCGGCCGTGGTGGTGATCCTGAAACACAGAGCCAGGGCAGGGCTTAGCGCCGGGCGGGAGCCGCGGCGGCGGCGAGGTTTGACCCCGGCGGGGCCCCCTCCGGGGCGGCCCGATGAGACACACCGCGTGACACCGGCAGGACGAGGGCCGGATTCCCCGAGGAAAGCAACGCTCCACTCTAAGCCCCACAAAACGCCTCGTGGCATCTCGTCGGGTCTGGGTGATCAGGGCAGAGAAAGGGGTTCGCAGGGAGCTCTGACCCTCAGCGTCTGTCCTGCCCCCGCGGCCAGCGGCCCTCTGACCTTCACGGCACGGAGAGCGTGCAGAGCTCGCGTGCGTGCGTGCGTGCGTGTGATTTTCTCGCTGGACACACGACAGGCTGGAAACGTGAGGTGTAAAGGGACACGGCCAGCATCGTGCGCGGCCCCCCCTGTGGCAAGCACCGTGGCGGCACTGTGTCATGCAAGGGGATGGGACAGAGCTCAGCGGCCGGTCCTGCTCCCGCAGTCACGGGCTTCCACAGACACGTGTAAGAGCCGAAGGCATGAAGACTCAAGGAATAAACTTGACGTGCGTCAGGGAGCCTCGTGCCCAGCAAGTTCAGCATCCCACGGGGAGAGAGCGGCCACCTCTGGGTACCGTCCACAACTGTCCCCATGTGTCCCCTGCCTGCACGCTGAGTGAGGACACCCGCGGCACGGAGACCCGTGGCTGTCAGCGTGCAGGGGGCGATCCTTGGTGTCAGCCCTTCCATGTGAGCCTTCCACCAGTCACAGAGAATGACGAGGGCGGACTCTCCGTGTCGTCAAATGCAGGCTGGAGAGGCGGCTGTGGGGACGGCACACCCCCAGCTGCCCAGGCGTGCGCTGGAAATGTCCACTTGTAGCTGGGGCACAGAAGGACAAGGGACGGAGGGCGGGGTCCCCCGGGAGGCAGACGGCCAGGGCCATGCTGTCCACACGTGTCCGGGTCCCAGACTCGCCGTGAGCGCCGGAGAGGGCGGAGGTCACGGCGTCCTCGGCGGGCCTTCCGGAGCCTGCCCCAGTGGACAGGCCTCGGCCCTGGCTCTGTCCTCGCCTCGCCGCCATTTCCGTGTTTTCGTGACACCTGGGCGGCCATCCGTTCGCTGACCAGCAGGCCCTGGGCTCTTCCTCGGGCGAGCCCGGGAGAGCAGGGCCGACTGCCGCCACGGCTGCCCCCACGCCCGCCAGGAACAGCGCCCGAGGCCACGGCCAGCGCCCCGTAATCACTCGCTGAGCAAAACGTGACGCGGAGGATGAGGGGACCGGGCGTAAGCGGCCAGCGTGGGACGCGAGGAGCGTGCAGAGGGGAGGAGGCCACGTGGCCGGTCTCGGCCCGAACCCTCCAAGTCCGAGACCGCGGGGCGTCCCCGCCTGCCCCAAGCACACCCCGCAGGGGGTCACTAAGACACGGTCCTCACGGGGTTAATTTAAAGCTCTGCTTTGCACGGAGAAACTGACACACTCTCTCTTTGGTCAGAAAACAAAGGACCTGAAAGTGAAAACGGAAAGAGCCCGAGAAGCAGGTTCCGTTTACAAACCCAGAAGGCCCGGCTGAACTTGCATTGATATTCGCTTCCCTGCCACGCACGCAGTCTCACGCACATGCACGCACACACACTCACACACTGCATGCACACACATCCGCACACACATGCACGCACACACACCCCCTCACGCACATGCACGCACACACGCACCCTCACACACAACCCCTCACGCACATGCACACACACATCCCCTCATGCACATGCACGCACACACACCCTCACGCACATGCACGCACACACATCCGCACGCACAGCACGCACACATCCCCACACGCACACGCACGCACACACACCCCCTCACGCACATGCACGCACACACACCCCCTCACGCACATGCACACACACATCCCCTCATGCACATGCACACACACAACCCCTCACGCACATGCACACACACACACCCTCACACACACACCCTCATGCACATGCACGCACACACGCACCCTCATGCACATGCACACACATCCACACGCACATGCACACACACACACCCTCACATGCATGCACGCACATACCATCACGCAATGCACGCGTGCACACACCCTCACACACATGCATGAACACACATCCGCACGCACATGCACACACACACTCTCACGCACATGCACACACTCACACACTGCACGCACACACATCCTCACACACATGCACGCACACACATCCGTACACACATGCATGCACACACACACCCCTCACACACACACCCTCACGCACATGCACACACACACACCCTCACGCACACACGCACGCACACACACACCCTCACACACATGCACAGACACACCCTCACGCACATGCACAGACACACCCTCACGCACATGCACACACACACTCTCATGCACATGCACGCACACACATCCACACGCACACGCACACACACACACCCTCACACACATGCACGCGCACACACCCCCTCATGCACATGCATGCACACACTCTCACGCACATGCACGCACACACATCCACACACACGTGCATGTGCACACAGATGCACACGCTCACATGCAAGCACACACAGATACATGCACGCAAACACACACTCACAGGCACGCACATGCACACATATATGAGCACACATACACAACTCACGCACATGTAAACACGTGCATGCACATGCATGCATACAAGCTCACGTACATGTGAGCATGCACACATGTAAGCACACGCACACACTCACACCTGCGAGCATATGCACAAATGCAAATACACATAAACACACATGTGCATGCACATGCACACATATACACGCACACGTGCACACACACACACTCTTCTATCGGATTTTTGGGGGGCAGGCAGGTAAATGGAGAACGTGTCCCCTCATTTACACTCCTGTGGTTTCTGGAGAATTTTTTGCACAATCGATGTCCGTGTCAGAACCTCCAGAACTTCCTAACCACACTTCCCATTTCTGGACAAACTATAAAATGCCGACGACGTCCCAGAGGAACACCCGCCTAGACTCTTCCCAGGTACCCCCGGCGTGCTTGGCACGTGCCGCTGCTTCTCTCGCGGTTGGAAAACTCTGATTTTTGCTAGAACTTTGACTCGCAGAAAGTCGCTCAACGTTTTCTACTTCAGGCGATGTTAGAAGATTCCCTTCGCTCGTCTTGAGGCGCCGAGAGTCTCAGCGAGGATTTGAGTGTCTACGGCTGCGATTTCACAGAGATCTGCTCGGGTCTCGGGCTAAGGCCGTGGCTCATGGCATGGGGGTGAGTCCTTCCTCTAAGATACCCACGCGTGTCCCACCGGGGACCTGGGCAGCCCCTGGATGGACACTTTTAGGTCTGCTGATCAAGACAGATATACACAAAATGACTCTGAAACTAAACGAACCTGAAATCGGGGCAAAGGCCACTTGAGGGACGAATGCGCCATTTGGCAAGAGGGCGACATTCACAACATCAGCCGCCAGCGGCGAGCATCATGGGAAGGCCTGGTGGTTTCCACGGGAACCAGGGAAGCCCAGGGCCTCCTGGGGTTCCAGACAGCCAGTTTGCTCCCCGGTTCAAGTGATTTCATCAGAAGGCCCAATGAGAGACAGTTCCCATTGGGAAGCCTCACATTTCACCATCCCCATAAATGTCGCTGGCACCACCGCATAAGGCTCTGTGGCGGCCATGCCCTCCATCGGCAGAGCCAGACGCTGCTTTCCAGCTCTGCAAACGGCTTCGGGCGAACTTTCTGGAAAGCCTCGGCAGCGTCAGGGCAAAGTTACACGGGCCCGCATGCTCTAACACGGGAGGCCCGTCCTGTGGGAATATGACAGCTCGATTATACCTAATCAATCCGGCGAGGCCGTCCCTTGCTGGAGGCCTATTTATAGGAACAGTAATGCCCCCAACCTTACACGATTGCTTTTTCTGCAAAGCTCCGTGTCTCATGGCTGCCTCCTACTTAACCCGAGGACGTGGCCTCCCCCAGACCGTCAGCGCCTCAAGTGACAGGCGCGAGGCCAGCGCACCACGCAGCCGGGGTGAGGACAGACCTGAGCCCGTACAGCACGGTCCCATCGGGGTGAAGCCGTATCATGCGGTTTTTCACCGTCACTCCGTGAACAAATGATTTCTTGTCATTTAAGAAATAGGTGTCGGGCACCCATAGCTGGTCGGCCACTCGATTGTCCAGCGTGAGGTTGAGCGGGATCCCAGAATAGGCGAGTCTTTTATCTCTCCAATATTGTTGAAAATACATGGTTAAGGTATAATCCTGGGGGAAAAAAAAGAACAGAAAGGAATTAGTCGGCGCCCAGCCTCAGGCTCCGCGCCTCCACGCCCGCCTCCTCCACGCGGGCCGGGTCCAGGCCGGACCCCGGAGGAGTGGGCAGTTTACTGCAGGAGAGGAAGCGGGGGCTGCTTCCTCGTAAATGCAGACACCGGCTTGAATAGGCGTGTGTCGTGGCTATAAACCCCGTTTATTTAGGGAAGACAAATCGGCATTTTAAATATCACACAGAAATAAAGGCGAAGGATCAAAAGGCATGGTGTCGTTGTCAGGGAGGTCGAGTTCCCTCCGAGAGCTCTCCTAGGTTATGCCGCTGCTGCCAGGCGGCCACATGCCTTAAGCTCCCAGGTCAGACCAGTGAGCCGACGCTCTCTCTGCAGCCTACGCCACCTCCCTCCCCACCAGGCTGTAAACACAGACCGTCCACAAACACCCGCTGGACACACGTGACCTCCGTGCCTCGTCGTCCACCACATTTTCTTTTGCTTTCAGAGTTCTACACTGACCAGGCTATACCATCACCTCCACATGATGACACACACGTTCGTGCACGGGGAACGGCAGCCTGGAGCTGCAGCCAGGTGTGGGAGGAGACACCCTCCCCACCCGTGCAAACCCACAGGCCTGCCAGCGGAATGAGCGAACATCTGGGCACGCTCCCCGACTTTCTGGTTTTTGCAAAGTAGTTTGTGTAATAAGAAAATGGAACAAAAGACATAGCAAAGGCTGAGGATGGGTGTTCTACTTTTTAATTTTGATTCTTTTTGGCAATCACTCGTCAGGTCTGGAACTATCAAAATTTGGTCATACTCGGGGGACACTCCGAACCCCACCGTGGAAGAATCCTAGGTGAAAACCCAAAGGTGAATAGGTAGACGCTCTAGCCAGAAAAATCAGGCCCTGCGCACGGGGGTCGGACGTCACCACGCGCAGGTCGTGCTGCGAACACCCTGGCTGCTGGGCAGCGAGGGCGGGCGGGGAGCCGGCTGAAAACCCGTCCAGACACTGGTCTGACGCCCACCCGGTTCTCGTGCGGTGTCTCGGGACCGATCCTGGCGCTTGCTGACCCAACCACCCTGTTGCTCGAGAGTGTTGGAGCACGAGGCCACCGATGTGACCAGGAGCGCCCCTGCGCGGCGAAGCCGACAGTACCCCGCAACTATGAACGAAGTAAGTTTTCAGCTCGAAGGCTCCTGAAAACCAGAAGGGGGGAAGCGAGAAAATTAAAATGGGCTGGGGAGCGTTTATGGAGGTCTGAGTCTGTGAGAGGAAGCACAGGCCCTTACGTGGGCAGAGCTCCGTGCCCGGTGTTACCTGTGTGAGCCCCCCTCTCCCCGCCACCAACGAAGGGGTCCCACAGGGCAGGTGGCACTGGAGACAGGCCTTGGTTCAGGTCGGGGCATGAAAACTCACGGGAGGATGCAGCGGTTCCTGTGCTGATGGGCGTGGCAAGGGGCAGGGCCTGTGGTGGGCGT